CCCGCGCCCCATTTCCCGTCACCTGGTTGCCGCCGGACGCTCATCAGCTGATAATGGCTGAGTAGGTCAGGCACTCAGGTGTCCGCGCTGCATCGGCCTCGGGTACGAAGATATGCAAAAAGGCTTCGGGGCTCAGAGGGCATGAGGGGCTGTGCACACGCGCGCGCACTCGGACACGCTCGCTTGGTAAATTCTGGAAACATTCTCTGGCTGTGTCTGTGTGTCTGTCTGCCTTCTCTGGTTTTGTTCGTCTGTCTCCATTCTCTCTCTCTCTCTCTCTCTCTCTCTCTCTCTCTCTCTCTCTCTCTCTCTCTCTCTCTCTCTCTCTCTCTCACACACACACACACACACACACACACACACACACACACACACACACACACACACACACACACACACACACACACACACACTTACCCACTCACACACACCACCCACTCACACACACCCACCCACTCACGCACACACCCACCCATTCACTCACCCACCCATTCACTTATTCACTCACCCATTCACTCGCAGACCCACACCCACTCACTCACCAACAAACAAGTACACACTCGGACGCAGACGCACCGAGACAGAAGGGACCCAGCGAACTCTACGAAGATTAAATGAAGATAAAATTTCAATATAGGCCGCGATAGGCCTGGGTACACTGCCGGGCCGAACTTGGGGTTGGAAAGGAAGGGGAGGAGGTGGGGGGAAGAGGGGGAGTGAGGGGGGTAAGAGATACTGGAGAAGGAAAGTTTAACTTGTATTTTTTTTCTTTGTTTGTTTTATTTTTTCTCTCTTTCTCTATGATTTTGAATGTCATGTTTTTTTTTTCTACAGCTTCTTTATTTCTCTCTTTTTTTTTTTTTTTTTTTGCTCCTCACCATCCATTCCATCTCCTCTTCTTTCTCCGCCTTTTCCTACTCTTTCCCTGTTTTTCCTTTCTCGCTTACATCCTCTTGTCTTCCTCTTTCTCCTCTCTCCTCTTTTATTTTCCTTGATATCTCTCTTTGTCTTCCCTCTTCTCCTCTCCCCCACCTTCTGTTCCTCCTTTTCTTCATCTCTATCCTGCTCTCTTTCTATCTTTCTCCTTATCCTCTTCTCTCCCTCTTCCCCTCTTCCTCTCCGCGTTTCTTCTGCTCTTCCTCCACTTCCTCTTCATGACTCTATCTCCCCGTTCTCCTCTTCATCTTAATATCCTTTTCCTCTAGTCAGCTATCCACTTTCACCCGCTGTCTCCTCCTCACCTTTCTCTTCTTTTCCTCCTTCTCACCATCACCCTCTCTCTCCTCCTTCCGCCCTTCATCTCCTCTTCTTCCTCCTCCTTACCAACACCCTCGCCCTCCTTCCTCTCTTCTTCTTCTCCTCCTTTTCTCTCTTCTTCTTCTCCCTCCTTCCCTCTCTTCATCTCCTTCCCGTCCTCTTCTCCCTCTCTTCCTCTCCTCCTCACTAACACCTTGCCCTCCTTCCCCTCCTCACCAACGCCGTCTCTCTCCCTTCTTCCGCACCTTCCCTCCTCCCTCCATCCTCCTCTCTCCTCTCCCTTCCACCCTTCCTCCTCCTCTCCACTCCTCTCCCTTCCACCCTTCCTCCTCCTCCCCACTCCTCTCCCTTCCACCCTTCCTCCTCCTCTCCACTCCTCTCCCTTCCACCCTTCCTCCTCTCCCACTCCTCTCCCTTCCACCCTTCCTCCTCTCCACTCCTCTCCCTTCCACCCTTCCTCCTCCTCCCACTCCTCTCCCTTCCACCCTTCTCCTCCTCTCCACTCCTCTCCCTTCCACCCTTCCTCCTCCTCCCACTCCTCTCCCTTCCACCCTTCCTCTCCTCTCCCACTCCTCTCCCTTCCACCCTTCCTCCTCCTCCCCACTCCTCTCCCTTCCACCCATCCTCCTCCCCACTTCTCTCCCTTCCACCCTTCCTCCTCACCCACTTCTCTCCCTTCCACCTTCCTCCTCTCCCTTCCACCCTTCCTCCTCCTCCCACTCCTCTCCCTTCCACCTTTCCTCCTCCTCCCACTTCTCTCCCTTCCACCTTCCTCCTCCTTCCCGCACCTCTCCCTTCCACCCATCCTCCTCTCTCCACTCCTCTCCCTTCCACCCTTCCTCCTCCTCCCCGCTCCTCTCCCTTCCACCCCCCTCCCCCCATCCCTCTCACACTTCGTACCCAGTCGCTTAAACATTCCGTACTCTACTTTCCCTCTCTCTCTCCTCTGCCTGTATGCGCGGAAATTTCGTCCGTCATATCACTCTAGTACCGGTTTCGGCCGCCCTGTGGCTCCCCTAACCCTATCCCCCTATCCCCCTCACCTTCTCCGCCCTCCCCATCTCCCCAGCCTCCCTAGCCTCTCCACCCTCCCCATATCCCCATCTCCCCCAGCCGCTCCACCTTCGCCCCCCCTCCCCAGGCTGCGTTTAGGGTACGAGTTTTAGTACCCGGTACACGCATAGGATAGTGGCGGTTACCTTCGCGCGCCGTACCTGCGCTCCCTAGATCGGTCTGGAGAGAAGGAGCATGATTATAAAACGCGGGACGATGGTAATTTCGGCTATCCTTGAGAATTGGCGGCTTTTTTTCGGCGGGGTTCCACAAATGGCGGGTTTTTGTTTGTTTTGATTTTCTGCGTTCGTTTTTGATTGGTTTATGTATTGTCATTATTGTTTTTTTATAATCGTTGCTCTTGTTTATTGTTGTTATTATTACTAGTTAGTAGTGTAGTTTTATTGTTGCTGTTATTTGTTTTCCTTATTATTATTGTTATCATTGTTATTATTATCATCGTTATCATCATCATCATTATTATTATCACTATCATCATCATCATTATTAATGGTGTCAACTGTTCATCTCATTTCGTTTTTATTTTCTCTCAGATTTTTATTTCTTGTTTTTTCGTTTGTGTTTATATATGACCTTTTGTATCTTCCTCTACGTTGATTGGGTTTACTGGAAGGTCTTCATTTTGGGTCATTTTCCTTCTCCTTTATGAGATGAGGTTATATCCATTGATGTGTTGTTTAGCGCTATTATTATTTTTTGGTTAGTGTTTTGTCGAGTGAGAATATTCGTTTTCTGTTAATGATCGTATCCCTTTTAGATTACGGAAAACGCAACGCATAGAAAACGTACTGTTGAATGATTTATTTAGTTCTATTTATCTTAGCAAATATTCAAAGAACGTTCAAGGTAATACAAACGCAAAAAAACATGATAATAATTTCGTATAACGCTATTCGTTACATAAACTTCCATGAGGAGATTGTACAAGACGTACCCCCCATTCAAACAACACGCACACCCGCGTACCCAACCTGCGTGTAATTAATGTTAAACTACGACCTCTGGAGGTCATTAGGTCATTGGGTCAGTGACCTTGTAGGGACGAGGGGCAGAGAGAGAGAAGAGAGAGAGAGAGAGGAGAGAGAGAGAGAGAGGAGAGAGAGAGAGAGAGAAGAGAGAGAGAGAGCGAACGAGCGAGCGAGCGAAGGAAAGGTGTAGAGTGTAGGGGTAGGTTATGGGAGAAGCGGGGAAGTAGGAGTGTGCTGATGAGGGAGATGGAAGGTGTTGCGGCAGGAGAGGGTAGGGTAGGTGGAAGGGGTAGAGGCTAGAGGAGAAAGAGAAGTGGAAGGGGGAGGAGGGGGTAGGGGAAGGGGTTGTAGGTGCGAGGAGGAAGATGTTGGAGAGGCTAGGGAGGAGGAGGAGGGAGTGGAGAGGAAGTGGGAGGAGTAGAGGCAAGAGAATAGGGGAGGGGAAGTGGTAGGTGAGGAGGGGAAGTGGGTAGGGGAGGAGGGGAGGTGGTAGGGGAGGAGGGGAGGATAGGGGAGGGGGGAAGGGGGAGGGGAGGCATAGGATGGCGCATAAAAGTACCATGATCAGCACTTCCGGCGTCGCTGAATGAGTGAGTAAGAGGGCTGAGTCATTTTTCCTCTTATCTCGGTGTTTATTGGATTATCTTGTGATTCGTATGGGGTTTCCTACTCAGATATCTTCGTTGAGGAATTTCCCCCTATGATTATTTTTTAATGTTTACTTTGAGTTACCGTACATTTTCCTTATTACGCATCCGCAAATAAATTGTTTTCCCAGCGTAATTATATAGTCTTTCTTTTTTTTAATCTTTCATTTTGTTTATCATACCCATCGCATCCTCAATCTTATTCATTTTCATTTCCTGTTATTCTCATTTTCCATCTTCAGCCTAAACAAGAATAGAAATGTCTGTTTTCTCTCTTGTTCTTGAGAAATGAAGAAAACAAAATCGAATCGCATATTTTTAATTGTTTTTTGTTTTTAAGAGAATTGTGATTTAGAATGTCTTAAATTTGTGATTTTTTCCAATTTGCGATTTTTAAATCATTTGTGATTTGGCCATTCTTAAATTTATGATTTGTGATTTAACGTTTATAAAAAAAAATGGGATTTGTGACTTAGCATTCATGTTGTTATTATTGTTATTATTATTATTTTTTATTACTATTATTATTATTATTATTGTTGTTGTTGTTGGTTGTTGTTGGTGTTGTTATTATTATTATTTGTAAATCGTGTTCTGGTAGTCGATGTATTTATATTCTTTTATTTTGGTTGTTTGAAATTTTTGGTTGTTTATATGTTGATTTGAAGTTGTGTATGGTGGTGCTGTGCTTGGTACTCTTATGGTAAATGATGATATTTATTATAATTTTTGTAACGTTACTATTGCCGGTGTTATTTGTATGATCGTTATCGCCATCTTAATCACTTGTCATTGTTATTGTGCTTAATATCATTAGCATTGCGTTTATCAGCTGTACTATCAGCATCATCGCCAGTATCATTATGGTCCCCTTCTCCTCCCATCATCATTATCGTTCTCAACTTCATCATCACAGTCATCATAATCATCACCATCACCTCATTACATGCCATCATTCCCCAATCATTTGCTATCAAGCTATGAAAAAGAAATTAAAAGCAAAAACTAAAGTATCCATAAACCAGCGTTTGTTTACATCCGGTTCCTCTTTCAGATCCAGCGATGGAGACTTAGGACGGCCAGGAAGGAACGCCGGAGAACCCAGCCTATCCCAGACAATCCGTCGCCCCCACCCCTCCTCTTTATCCTTCCCTCCTTCCTCTTTTCTGCCCCCCCCCCTCTCCTACTCTCCTAATTTCTCCTCCTTCCGTTCCACAAAAAAATCCCCCACCTTCCCTCCAGGACTTCAAAGATGGAGTCCTTCGCCAGCGTCGAACTTGAGGATTACTTCAACGAGGTCCGGACCATCAGCCGTAGGACATCACAGTCGAACTCCCAGTCAGAAGAGGAAGTCCGGAGCCACGAAGGTGAGTCCTTGTTGCAGGATTCGGCTTCGGCAGGATCGACTTTGCTAATTGTTGCAAATAGCGGAAGTGGGGAGGTTAAGTGTGCGAATTTGCCGTAAGGGCGAATGTTGAATGAATAAAGTGCTTTTTGTTTGGAGTGTGAAAAGGGTGTTTTGTTTTTGAAGTATGGCGAAAGTGCTTTAAGTATGAAGGTGTTTTTTTTTTTCGTTTGAGTGCAAAAACTTTTTTTTTTTTTAGTGTGAAAAGTTTGTTTTGTTTTGAGTGTGAGGAAAGTGCTTTATTTTGAGTGAAAAAACGAGTTTTGCTTTGAGTGAAACAAGTAGTTTGCTTAGAGTGTGAAGAAGGTGTTTTACGTGTGAGAAAGTGTCTTACGTGAAAGGTGTTTTGCTTTAAGTGTGACGAAAGTGTTCAAAGGGTGAAAACGCGTTTGTTTTAATGTAAAGAAAGTGGTTTGTTGTGAGCATGAAGAAAGTCTTTTGTTTTGACTGTGAAAAGTGTTTTGGGCCCCAGTGGCGTTTTTGTGTGAAGAAAGTGCTCGTTTTAAATGCGTGAAATGCTATCTTTAACGTGAAAAAGTGGAAATTCTACGCGGAGAAAGATGAAAGTGTGATTTCAACGTGGAATTTTTTTTTTTATAAGTACGCAAGTGCAAGTGATACGAGAACTTGACATATACAAAACTATAAGAATTGTAAAGTATGACCTTAGCTTGAATAAATACAAAACGAATGAAATCAAGAAAAAAAATGTATATGATAAAAAATATATATACTTACATACATCTCCAAGCCTTCAGATTTTAGAATGAAGAATGAATGTACATTGATGTTTTCCAGCCAGTGACAATCGATAGATAGGTGTGTTATTATCACCCCTTCCTCTCTTATCTGCGGATGTGACAGTTAACGAAATTTTACGCACATTCGGTTGATAGACGATGAATTACGAAAACCTCTTACGTTTTTACATACGGATTGTCCTGGCTGATGGGATGTGCTTTAAAGGTAATTTCAAAATATGTGTTTTTTAAATGTTTATTCTTAGAGATTCATTTTTTGTCTGTTAGATGAGTATGTACTGATAATCTGAAATACAGATATTTTCATGATCTTTGGTTTCTTGATGAGAAATAGGAATGGGGGTAAATTAATTGATGTATTGTGTAATGTCAATTTCTTTTTCATTTGGTATATATCCTGTAGGATTTAAGTTAGGCTTTTAGAGTAGAATGAAAGAAACAAGGGAGAGATTAGTAATGATTAGGATGCTAGTGATAATGATACCGGCAATAATACTGATGATAAATTGATAACAAGAGTAAAAAACGATAATGGCGATATATATGACGAAAGTATAACGATTTTCCAAAACATAAGATAGCAATAATATCACCGAGAATGATAAAAATAACATGATAGCAGTACAAATCATAAAATAACAACAAAAATAGCAACGATGACTTGCGCCAAAAAGTAAACATTTCCCCTCACCTTCATCCCCACCCTTCCTCCCTCTTCTAAACCCCTTCCCTTCCCTTCCCTCCTTCCCTTCCCTTCCCTTCCCTTCCCTTCCCTTCCCTTCCCCCTTCCCTTCCCTTCCCTTCCCTTCCCTTCCCTTCCCTTCCCTTCCCTTCCCTTCCCTTCCCTTCCCTTCCTTCCCTTCCCTTTCCTTCCCTCCCATTCCCACCCCACCCCACCTCACCTCAACCTATCCCACCCCACCCACCCCACCCCACCCCTCCCTCCCCTCCCCTCCCTCCCCTCCCCTCCCCTCCCCTCCCTCCCTCCCTTCCCTCCCCTCATCACCCCCACCCCACCCACCCCCCCTCCTCACCCCACCCCTCCCCACCCTTCCCCACCCCTCCCCATACCCCAATCTAATCTTAAAATCCCCCTTCTCAGATGACGGCGAATCCGACGAGCACTTCCTCGAGGAGCTTGGGATCCCCGTCAAGCAGGACTCGGAGCTCTCGGAGGACAACATCACCTACAGCAAGTTCATGGGCACGCTCAACCCCGGCAGGTGAGGTTCGGGGGGGGGGGGAGAAGAGGGTGGGTTGGGAGATAGGGATAGAGAGAGGGAGGGAAGGGAGGGCGAGGTAGAGGAGGGGTAGGAGGGAAGGGGAGAAGGAGGGTGGAAGGGGGAGAGGGATAGAAGGAGGGAGGGACAGAGGCGAAAAGGGTTTGGAACAAGGGGGGAGGCAGAGAAAGAAACGGGAAAGGTTAGAGAGGAATAAATATACAGACAGACAAAGAAGCGAAAGACACACGCAAAAGCAGGGTTCCAGTGAATACTTAGACACATACACGCACGCACGCATACACACACACACACACACACACACACACACACACACACACACACACACACACACACACACACACACACACACACACACACACACACACACACACACACATACATACTTACACACTTACCTTCTTCTTATTCATTTCCCCGCGTCCTTCGGCAGGAGGAAGCCCTGAAGCGCCGCGTCCGCACCCTCAACGCCACCATCAGACGCAAGAAGCAGAGACAGAAGCCCGACATCAGGAACTTCTTCGCCAACACGGATGTATGTTGGAGAAAATTTGTTTTTCGTGTTTTTTTTTGTTGTTGGTTAGGTTGTGTTTGTTTGGTATGTTTGTGTTTGGTTATGTTTGGAGGTTCTTTTTTTTTGTTCTATGATTATTCTTTTCGTTTTACTGTAGATATGAAAGGGTTTGGTTTTTCAATTCTGTCTTATTTAGCTGTTTCTATTATTATGTAAATTATTTGTACTCAGAGGATAGGGTAAACGCACCTGTTTTATCTATTATCTGTATTGCCTCTTTATTCACTCTTCCTACCAATTGATTTCGCATTTCTTCCTATTCAAAAGACCTTAAGCCCGCTCCTGCCTTATAGAACTACCAGCTGCTATTATTTTTTTCCAATTCAAAGGACCTTAACTCCTCCCCCTTCCACCAGGTCCTACCAGTTTTTTATCACATTTTCTTCCCACTCCAAAGATCTAACCCCTCCCCGTCTTCCAGAACTCGAGCACGGGCACCCGCAGCCGCAGCGCCACCCCGGACTCGCTGGACTCGGTCTCGCCCCCCGCACCCGCCCGACCCGCACCCGAAGTCGTGGGTCGACCCGTACCTCAGCCGGTCCCGCGGGTCACTCGACTCGGGGAACCACTCTCTGGTCACTTCCCTTCGGTCATCACTTCCCCGACGCCCTTCGCGGACCATCACCATCACCACCACCATCACCACCATCATCACCAGGCGGATCATCATCATCACCACCATCAGGATCATCTCCCGACCAGGAGTCACCATGGTGTCAGCAGGAGGTACTCGCCCCGAGCGACTCTGCTACGAGGTGAGAACGAAATCTTTTTCATTATTTTTTTTCTTTTTTTCTTCTTCTTTTTTGGGGTTTCTTTTTTTACTTTGGAATATGGAGTTGGCGGAATGCATTCTGTGCGGGGCTATCAGATGGGAGATTTTATGGTTGAGAAATTTAATATAAGAGGTACCTTTTTAGACGCTTGGGTCAGTGTGCTTTTTGCCGGGTGGTCGAAGCATGGAATGTCATATGGAATAAAGAAGAGACTAGGTATAAATAAAGCACAAACCAATAACCAGATAAACATAATGTACGGTACACAGAACTTAAAAAAACAAAACAAAAAAAACAAGAACTATTAAAGATATATATAGAACACAAAAAAGGGAACAAGGTAAAGAAATATAATAGCCGAGGTTGCGTACCCTTAACCCGCCCCCTCGTCCCCTACAGGTCTCCCCAGTGGCAGGACGACCGACCGCTGCACATGTACCGCGCCCCCTCGCTCGACATGCTGCCCAAGGTGGGGACGGGCCACCTCTCGTCGGGCAAGGAACTCCGAAGACAGAGGTCCTACGCCAGGGACATCGCCAGGGACGTCAAGAGCTTCCACTCCAAGCAGGGGCAGTACGAATTCTACCCGAAGACCATGCACGATGAGTCCGGTGAGGGAGAGGGAAGAGGGAGAGGGAGAGGGAGAGGGAGAGGAGAGGGAAGGGGGAGAGGGAGAGGGAGAGGGAGAAGAGAAGGAGAAGGAGAAGGAGAAGGAGAAGGAGAAGGAGAAGGAGAAGGAAAGGAAGAGAAGGAGAGGGAGAGGGAGAGGGAGAGGGAGAAGGAGAAGGAGAAGGAGAAGGAGAAGGAGAAGGAGAAGGAGAAGGAGAAGGAGAAGGAGAAGGAGAGAGAGAGAGAAACCTGTCATTCCGGTGGCTATAGGGGAGACTTTTTTCTTTTAAAGGAAAGGGGATACATGTCTTACGGTTTTCATGTTCTGCTTTGGCTTTCTCTGCTCTTAACTTCGCAAATTGTAATTGAAAAAGACTTTAGTTTATACACACTACATGTATATATATATCTATCCTCTGGTGGGATAACCTACTGTAGATCATATAAAGCACCAGTTTTGACCAATCCCTAAAGGAACAAATTCCTAAATAAACAAACCCCTAAATGAACAAATCCCTAATAGACCCTTCTTTCGTCCCCAGCCGAGATCCAGGTGCTGGGGTATCGGTACATCGGCTCCGTGCACATCCCCCACGCGCGCTGCAAGGACAAGAGCCGCCACTGGAGTCAGCGTCTACTACGAGGACGGTGCAGGATCTCGAGTCGATTCCGGTCAGTCACCTGTCCTCCTTCGCTCATCTCTCTTTGCTGTCTTTGCTTCGTTGATTTTCTTTTTTTCCTTTCGTTATTTCGTTTGTTCTTTCTCGCTCTTTCTGTCTCTTTCAATTTTATTTTATTTTCACTGTCTGTCTGTCTGTCTGTCTAACTCCCCTATTTTGTCATTCCCTTCCTTTTGCCACCTTGTCACCTTCTTTTCCTACCAACTTCTCTTTCTCTTGTTCTCTTCTTCCTCAGTATGCCACGTCTGATTCCCCTACCCCCTCATTTATCACTCCTTGTCCCCCTTCCCTCCCTCGTTTCACATTCTCTGTCGCATGTTACCAGTGTCAACAGTCACACAGTAAACTATGACCTTTAAACCGGCAAATGCATCATCCTCCATCAATGTTATTCAGTAATTGTATTATTAGTTTACTTATTTATTTATTTTATGTCTTGATTTATCTTTCGATCAAACACATTTTTACACGTTTTATATTATATGATATGTATTATTTTCAATGATTAATGCTTCAAGGGGCCTTCTTAAGGGAGTCTCACTCCTGGAGGGCTCAGCCACACCACTATTGTTATATGATGTATTTTTGTTGATGTATTATTTTTGGCTAAATAAATTATTTGATTCTGATTCTCCTTCTACAGGATTCTCCCCGTAGGATGTCTGCTGAACTGCGGAAGTCTCACTCCATCAGCCGCCCGAGGGAATCACGCGAGCTGAGGGACATCCGGGAACAGAGGGAGAACCGAGAGAATCGAGAGAACCGAGAGAACCGAGAGAACCGAGAGAACCGAGAGAACCGGCCCCGGTCGGCCTCCAGCACCGACCTCGGCTTTAAGGTCATCTACTCGAAGCCCGACGAGGAGTTCCCGGTGAGTGAAGCGAGGACGTCAAGAGGAGGGGTGTTTAGGACTCTCCATGGCGTGGGTATTTCGCGGAGGGTCTTTCTATCATGGATGGGAAAATAAATAACAACATGGTGTAAGGAATACCCTACAAATAAAAAAATCAATGGGGAAAAACGTTAATAGGATGCAATGAAAACCCTACAAGCACGAAATTGAATTAAGGAAAACATTCATAAGGTGTAAAGAAAACCCTACAAACACGAAAAAAATATAGCCTAAGGAAAATCCTACAAACACGAAATTAAAAAAATACACTAAAATGGCACAAGGAAAGCCCAACGAACACTAAATAAAGGTCTGTTATTAATTGATGAAAACTAAAATGAAATAAAGTGCCTCTCTGTTTTCGAAAAGATAAAATGTTACGAAGAAATGACGATAAAGAAACACGAAATGACTGTATTAGGTAATGCAGTTTTAAGAAACACCTAATTTAACCTATTCCTGCAGTAAATGATAACTATCGTTTATCTGAACTAATTACGCAACTAACAAAATGATCAATATAAGAAAAGGACTAGCACAAAGAGAAAACAAACCACCTCTAGCAAGCAGTGAAATCATTATAAAAGTAAATCTTTGGGACTTTCTCGTCTTAAGTTCTAAATCTTCCCATGAGCTACAATATGTATTTGTGTCAGAATTATAAAATTTTAAATGTGTTTGAAGATTACGATGAGTTTTCTTTTAGAATGATATTTGAGTAATGTTGATGTAAGTTCTAGTTTTGTTTGTATTTAAGGAGTTAGGCATACAAAACAGAAATACAGAAACCTATGGAATATAGATATATTCCTCTGCCTAATAAAGATCAAAATGTAAACTGTATTTCCAAGTTTTTTATCTTAACTAAGTGTGAAATTTTTGCTCACTTGCTAAAACTTTATTTTGGCGTCTTTGAACACGTAAACCTTTTCTCCTCTTTATTAAAAAGAAGCCTAGTACTTCTCCTTAAAATTCAGTCCACAATCAGGTTCTTGTAACAAATAATATATGTATATATATATATCTCTCTCTCTCTCTCTCTCTCTCTTCTCTCTCTCTCTCTCTCTCTCTCTCTCTCTCTCTCTCTCTCTCTCTCTCTCTCTCTCTCTCTCTCTCTCTCTCTCTCTCTCTCTCTCCTCCCTCCCTCCCTCCTTCCCTCCCTCCTTCCCTCCCTCCTCCTCCCTCCCTCCCTCCCTCTCCCTCTCCCTCTCCCTCTCCCTTCCCCTCTCCCTCTCCTCTCCCTCTCCCTCTCCCTCTCCCTCTCCCTCTCCCTCTCCCTCTCCCTCTCCCTTCTTCCCCTTTCTCTCTCCCTCTTTCCCTTTCTCTCCCCCTCCCTCCCTCTCCAAGAATAACGATTATAACGAATGAAAATCAAAGCGAAATTATATACAATTAATTTATGAATCAAATTAAAACACACATTCTCTATAACCTCACGCCCTCCACCTTTTTTTAGGACTTGGTGGTCGAGACGAGTCGCTGCGGCCAGACTCGCATGGACTGGCTGGATGAGTCCGACCTGGGCAGACTCACCTCCCTCGCCCTCCTGGAGCTCGACATCCTGTTCACGGAGCACAACATCCACCACCGTTGGAGAAAGCTCAAGAAGAGGAAGCAAAACAAAGAAGGTTGGTTTTGTGTTGATTATTTTAGTCTGTTTTAATTATTTTTTATTACGTTTTATTTAATGTATTTTGTTGATTTTTTAAATGTATTTCGTTGATCTTTTTTATGCATTTTGTTCATTTTTTTATGTAATTTGTTTATCTTTTTTATGTAATTTGTTTATCTTTTTATGTATTTCTTTATTTGGTTATTTTTGTTTGGTTACTCATCTATATTAATTTATCTATTTGTGTATTTTGTTTATATTATTTATTTATGTATTCATTTTTTTCTATACTTATTTATTTATTATTGCTTGCTATGTCGGTTTACGGGTGTGTGCAAATGGTCATGGTAAAATATAAATAACGTTCTGTAAACAGAACGGCTTTCCTGAAGAGTGAGAGAGTCATTTCGAAGTCCTCCTTGATAGCATTCTCGGCTCTGAAGATGAAATCCAGGAGGTTGTCTCGTCTCTCAGTAAAACTACTTTGTTTATTGTAGAGTTTCCTGGTGTTTTCGAGGACTTATTCGAGGATTTTGAGGATTAAATATTACAGGAATGATACCGTTTTTCTTCCTTCGATTATTCAAGTTTTAATCTTTTTTGCTTGGTTGCAGAAAGTGGCGTGTTCGGCGTCCGTCTCGACAGCCTGATAGAGAGAGACAGAAGCTTTTTGGAGGAGTCTCCCCTTGAGACTAAAGTGCCTTTGGTGTTTTATAAGGTGAGTGGCATACCAGGTATAAAATCCAAATACTATTTTTCTGTTTTTTTTTCTGCCAGATAACAACGGACCAAGAAAGATGGCCTACATATGAAGCGGAATCCAACAAAATAATATGCACAATATGATTTACATAAGTTTCATTGTTTCTGTCTTTTGTAAGATAACGACTTTTTGACACTATGTTAATGTGCTACACTTTTTTCTTTTATTTACCAGTTGGCTCTGCAGTTGGAACGCCAGGGCCTACGTCAGGAAGGCATCATGAGAGTGCCCGGACACAGGTGAGTTTGGGGTCTAGCGAATATTTGTTTTCCGTTTTCTATGAGCTATTGTCTCCGTTAGCTAAGTTTCCCGTTTTCTATGCAGTCGTTTCCACGTACTGTGGAAGGTACGATTGTCGATTTTACTTTGGTCGTTAATATACATACATACATATATATATATTATATATATATATATATATATATAATTATATATATAATATATATGTATATATTATATATATATATAAATAATTATATAATTATATGTATATGCGTGTGTGTGTGTGTGTTCCATGAATGTATTTAATTCTACGGTGTCTCAAGGCTTTTTAATTGTCTATTATATTGTTATTCTATGAACTCTTGGTACAAACATGGCGTTGTTTTTACAAACTTATATCATTTATTGGCAGGTAATCATAATCTTTATCATGTTATTTGCTATAGGGACTTTTAAAAGATTTGTTATCATGCTATTTTAAAAACTTTTGGAAAATCCATTCTGTTTTTTTTAACTTCTACTATCATGTTATCTCATGAACTTCTATACTGTTATCATGTTATTTTTTATAACTTCTGAAAGGTTTTTCACCATGGTATTTTGAGAAATTTTAAGATTTTTCTTAGAACTTGTGAAAACTTTATCAAGTTATTTAAAAAAAATATATATACTTTCATTATGATATTTCGAGAATTGTGAAAAGGTTTTTCATCATGATAATTCACAAGCGCCCCCTCCAGAAGCCTTTTCCTCACCGCCCTCTGCCTCCCACCTCCAGGTCCCAGATCGAGCAGCTGCGGCGGGCGTTGGACACCCACTTCTACACCTCCCCGGGCACCGCTGACTCCGCCCTCAGGAACGCCACGCCCAACGATGTGGCCGCCCTCATCAAGACCTTCCTGAGGGAGCTTCCGCAGCCCCTCCTCACCCACACGTACATGCCGGCCTTCTACAAGACGCATCGTAAGCGATTTGCGATTTTCTTGGTTTTTTTCTCTATTGTTTTTTTTTTTTTTTTTTTTTTTTTTTTTTTTTTTTTTTTGAGAGAGAGAGAGAGAGAGAGAATTTATTTTTTATTGTTTAAATGCATTTGTGAGTTTAGCTCTTGATAAGTTTAGACAATCTTCTGTTAAAAAACGAATATTTCAACACACGTAAACAATATTTTATATAATAAAAAGATAATCCACACAAATAAACAAAACAAAAAAATCTCCCAATTGGCTAATTGTCCCCCGTCGGCGCCTCCCGCAGGAATCAGGACATGGGCGAGCGAATCCTGGCCCTGACGATGCTGATCCTCCTGTTGCCCTCGTCCCACCGAGACACCCTCCACGCCGTCCTCGAGCTGTGTGCCCGAGTGGTAGCCTTTGAGGACGAGAACAAGATGACCCTCTACAACATCGCCATGATCGTGGCGCCCAACCTCTTCCTGCCCAGCAACCAGCGCCAAACTAAACCTTAGGAGCGAGGACAAGGAGCAGCAGCTGAACTACGAGGTATGGGTTGGGGACGGGGGTGCGTGGTTGGGTTGGGGAAGGGTTTGGGTTGGGTGGGTGTGGATAGGTGGATGTGGGAGACAAGGGTAGGTACGTTCCACAGTAACTCGTCCAGAGATGTATGGTATAGTGGTATTTCTTGATGCCGAATATGAAGCTGATCCACCAATCATATCGAGAGGTATTATCCCAAAACAAAAGTTTCTTTTACGCCAGAGTCAGAAAATTGGACGAAAGTTAAAGTCACTTCGAAGTAGATGTATTATTGTAACTGGGGAGCAGGTTATGAGGTGCGGTTATTCAGGAAACAAAAAGTCGTCAAGGAATTGAATTATCAATGCATTTGATTTGATTCGTGTTCATACATATTTTTTTTGAAAATTCATTAAAAACATTCAGAACGTACGATACCATAACCTTTATAGGAAAAAATAGTCATTCGCCCATCAGAATAACAGTAACGAATAAACTTCTAAAGATAACACCAATACCATACGAATAAGTTATACCATAAATTCTTCGCTAATACGAAACACCATCTTCCAGATGATCCAACGATAACACCTGTAATACACGCATATTTTATAACATAACCTCTTTCCTAATACGAAACACCCTCTTCCAGATGACCTATCGATGGCTCCAAGAAAACCTTAACCTCTTCCCTAATAAGAACGCCCTCTTTCAGATGACCTACGCGAACGTGACGACTCAGTTGACCCAAATGATGATCAAGTACAGGGATGTTCTGTGGACAGTTCCCCAACGGCTTGTGTCGCAGATCCGCCGTATATACCAAGCAGAGGCCCTCAAGCAGAGTAACTACACGCCTGTGAGTATAGGCCGAGTTTGCGAGAAAGGGAAAAGGGCAGTTGTGTGTTTGGTTTTTTTTTTTTTGGAGGGGTATTCGTTGGTTTAATTTGCTTTAACTGTAGGGTATTGACGGATTTTTTGAAAGGGTAGTTTTATTTCATTTCTGAATAGGACTGAACGTATGAGTTTTCTCAAATAGGAAGATATTTAGCCAAACGTTTGAGGAAGAAGTACCTCGCATGAAATACAAAAAAACCGTCCCTAAACCGTATCTGTATTTCAAAACACACATCTCTCATTCCAACTAATCACTTTTTTCGAGATTTCTTAATACGCCCAACAACTTGACCAAAACCCACGACATTCCAGATGAGGAGACTGCTGACTCGCAAGAGCAAAGAGACTATCCAGCGGCCCATCGAGAACGAGGTGGACTACCAGGAGGGGGTCCTCAGGGTGTCTGCCCCCCAGTTCAACAAGTGCAATTACCCAGTTAAGCTCGATCCCTTGATGACTGCCAAAGACTTACTGACAAGGTGAGGGGGTCTGGTGTTATTATTACTGCTGCTACTATTACTGCTCCTAATGATGATGATATTGATAATGATAGTGTTATTTTATTATTATCAATATTAATATTATTGTTCTTCCTATTTGCTTTTGGTATTATTTTTTTATTGCTGATATGAGCATCCATGTATCCAGAAATCATACACAAAAGAAATCGCTGACCCACTTAAACCCCAAACCCCCCGAATACAGCCCCTAACACGAACCTCCCCCGCCAGATTCATCGAGGAACTGACCGTCCTTCCCGAGAACCCCCGTCGCGTGGAGGGCCGGAGAGAACAGCAGTACAAGCGAGGGAGCGGAGGCAACGGATCCCCTCCTTCGACCGCCCCCTCGAGCGTCTCCTCGCCCCAGTTCTACGCCTGCCTCCTGACGGGCTCGCTGAAGAAGGCCGTAGAGCAACACGCCCTCCATGAGAGAGGAGGGAACATAGGTAATAAGAAACGAGGATGGAGGAGTTTGAGAGGAAGATGGGAGGGTGTGCGTGTCCAAAGGTGTTCTCAGACCCACTGCATTTTTATTTTGTTGATTTAAGCTTTCATCTATAGTATAAACATCGAGGTATTTACTTTAATACATCGCAATTATACGTTAAAGTGCATTAACGCTAATATATCGATGCATATGCAATAAACAAAGGTTTAAATTGACCAAACAGAATAAACGAATGGTCAGATGCGCATACCTTCACGCACGTCAAGGGTTTACAGGGAGTTTTACATATATAGGGATTATAAGGGAAGGTCGTGTTATATACGCTCAACATTGGGTGTATAAAGGGCAGTTAGTCTTATATGCAAATAACAGTTAGAGAGGAGGATGTGTTAGGTTTATGTGCATGGGAAAGCTCTCAAAGGGGCTATAGCGAAATCCGTTTTTTGCATACGATGTAGTCGAAGGGAAATGTATACAGTATGTGCACTTAGAGAAAGACATGCTCAAAAAAGGGTAATAAGGACAAGTAAGTGATGGCATATGTACAGAAACCATTATAAATGCATACAAATAAAAGAAATCAGTGTTACATATACATAAAAAAATGGTTATGTGGAAACGCTGTGTTACATACTCCTGAAGGCAAGGGAGAAAACACAGGAGTCTTAGAAACAGATTATCTTAATGAGTTGATTATTTCTGTGCATACCTTGTATTATGTGTGCAGTTTAAGTTATAATCTTTATTATAGCCTTATGCAATGTTCTCTCCATGATTTTTTTTATTCTGTTCGGCATGTGTTTTACTCTTTACTGGTAGTCATATACGATTTACTCTTTGATATATTTTGTTCATTATGTGTTATAGTACATTGAGTCACATTTGAGGTACTATTTATATCGTTTATTCTGTTCAATATGCGTTTTAATCTCTATTGATAACCATATACGATGTACAGTTTATAATGATATTTATTCGGTATGTCTATAATATTTACTGATAGCCATAAACAGGGTATTTTTTGTGCTGTTCAATCTATCTTTCTACGATTTATTTCATCCAGTTATAAGCAAAAGTATTATTATACTGTTTAATCTATCTCCCTGCGGTTTATTTAACTCAGTCATACTCTTTCTATAGTGTAAGTATTCTCATTGTCTTTCCTTTTTCTAGGCGACCGCCGTTTGGACTCGAAAGCAAAGCTCCTCACCATATACCAGGACAACCCCAATGCAGAATTCCTCGTCAAGTGCCACCACCACGGAGGGCAGACGTCTAGAAGAAATTCGTAGAGGAGAGGACATCTTGGTTAGACTTCCTCGACATTAGATTCTTCCGAGAAAAAGAAGGGAGAGGGAAGGAATTATATGAGTGGTTTTATTGTTTTTTTCCCTCCCTCTCTTTTGGAAGCTAGTAACTTGTCCAAATACTCAAGGATATTTTTGGTGTGCATAAGATATCCTTAATCTGTGGTTTGGCGACGGACGCGGGGTTATGTTTTTCGTGTTTGTCAAGAAGAAAGAGGAGGTTATGTTTTCATCCTATATAATCATCTAGTTTAAGCCCAAGGCATTGTTTCAAAGATTGATACGTGTATGATAAGGGAGCGTAAGTCTTTAAAAAAAATGAATGACAAAACCTGGGTTATTCTGTAGTACGCATTTTCTTCGTGTTCACTTTCCTTTCATGGTATTTTCTTTGTAAATTCCTCGGATGGTCATAAAAAATAAATTCATGATCACCAATTTTATTCGTATGCTGATTAAGGTCAACAATGTTTGATCGACATGACCAAACAGTGCTTCAGAATGATTAAGAAAACCTATTAAGACTTTTAAATGTAAGTTAGAAGAGTGTGCAAGAGATAAGTAATGTACAGTGTTAAGTGTGGAGTTAAATGTGAGTCTTTGTGACTGTATGATATCTCAGGTAAGAGCGCGGACGGCTGAAACGTCACAGTCATTGTCTTGTAGAGAAAATGTTGGGTGCCTGAAACAGTTCATTACCTTTTAGACTGTACTTAAGTGGAATTAAGTAACATTGTCTTTAAGTCGTTGTAGAGGATATTAACCTGTATCAAATCAATAAGTACCCTTTTTATGCTTTAAGAATAGTATTTTCACAGAAGGATTCGCCTTAATTTCCCCGACTACTAGTCAGATTTCTATAATGTAAAATCACTGCGGTTTCTGCAGATGACTGTATATTAACACGAGGAAGAATTATACTCACTGGTAGTACTCTTACAAGTCTTGAATATGTGGGGGTGTATGTGCATTATGGTAAAGAGTGAATATGTGTATATAATAATATTGTCTGAATGATTTGTTGTACTTCTGGATGGAAGGACATTTTATTCTATGATTTGTTGATGTACAGTTTTAAAGGTTTACAATTTTGCAGTTGGACGATATTCGTGGTTTGCTATATTTATGCTCAACAGTAAGAGAATTTTATTGTAGCTTGCTTTGCTACAAAATGAAGAATACTGTAGTATATGTATACCCAATGTATATACATATATAAATGGTACCGTTATCTGGCGTGGACCAATAATCACATTGGTTCTAGTTTGAAAAGACAACTGATTCTGTTTTGTCTGGAACAGCAGTTGATATATATTTTTTGTTTTAAATGCGTGTGTGGTGTTAGCGCCTCTTTGAAGAAAGTATGGAGATAATGTACGGGTGAATTGAACGCTACAGCAAAAAGTCATTCTTATTATGATAAGTCAGTCTTCTGTCTGTTATTGCCAGCATTTCCACATGCTTAAACAGTGTTCAGGTAATTACAGAATGCACATAAGATTGCAAAAAATACATAATTCTGTTTACCCCCTTGTGTTCTTTGCAAGCCTGTCTTTAACTGGTCAGTATGATATAAGTTTTTTCTGTATTTTTTCCCCCAATAATCTTGACATTTGGGTTAATGCGTGAACAGTAGTTGTTGCACTGTCATCATACGTTACGTATACTCGTATGTCTGTATAAGAAGTGTTTATCATAACGCTGAAGAATACTTACCTGCAACATTTATAAGACGTTATAAAGATTGTAAGCCAGGTACACTGTTAACAAATGAACAGAGACCCTATGAAGTGAACTTAGCGGATGTGTATATATATATTTTCACTTAAGTGGAGGTTTGCCTTCAGATTCTATCAACACACAAGATTCATGACGTATTTGCATATATTGTTTTGAATATATTACCTTTGAGGTTCTTTGCTCATGCAACAGAAGTTTGTGTTCAAGTACGAATTACATTTATATACGTGTTTTATGAGTGTTGATTTTCGTGTTTGCATATTCCTTGTGCTCAACAGATGATTCTTTAATGTGGTGTGCTTGTGTGTAAGTGTTTGTGCGTGTGTGTTTTTTTGGTAATTGCTCTTTGTATAGCTTTTTATATTAGTATATCCTCCTCACATCCCTGTACAGATGAACAAGATTCGAAGTATCTAGTAAAACGATACCTGTCTTTGGCACTTCTGTAAGAAATGGTTCTCTCTTCTTATGTCTACTGTATATACACAAAACATTATACACATATTAAGTGAATAAATTATAAGGAAAGATATATCAATATATATGTTTATTTATTTCCATCCTGGGAACATATTTTTTGCATTTAACTTTCCTTGTTGGTTAGAATAATAAAAAAACATAAAAAGAAGAACAAATACCCAGCTTATTCCAAGGGCAAAAATATGTTAGTAAGGAGCTTAGAGCCATTTATTTGTGGGAAGAACTGAAACCTAAACAGTCTCTTACATATTCAAGGTTAAAGATTCTTTGAAAAGTATTGTCACGTGATCTCCTAACAGGATATGGCATGCTGAATCCCCGCATACAGTATTTAAATGATAAATTCCTTAAAAAATGTAGAAGATATTTAGATAAAGCTCCTTGCATAATGCCAACGATGGTGAGGTTAATTATAAATACTTCGCTGTTATATATTTTGTCTATAAATGAAATTCGTCACCATACGGCGGCAAGCATTTTTGAATAATTATCTTACATAATACTTAGAAAAGAAAAAGAATGTGAAAAAATACTAAGATTAAACACTATTTATAGATAAGTGACACGTTGTAGGACCTTAATATATTATTATAATTTCATCAGCCATATAAATTATTTTGCATGTCTACAAGGAGGCTTATTACCCATGTGGTAGACAGAATTTCGGAGAAAATTGAGTATGTGAAAAGAAACATGGCTAATTTTTTTAATTTATAATGCGTGTTAGTAAGACCAAGATGCTCGTTGCAGTTAAAACTATAATTACAGTTTAACAAAGTATTTATTGTAGCGTGCAAGACTATGAATACCACGAATTTTTACCACGGTGACCTAAGCACTTGTTTTTTTTTTTTTTACTTAACCTCAAAATAAGCAGAAACCCAATATAGGAAAGGTTCTTCCGCCGTTTTATTCAGTAACACTCAAACAAGCATGAAGCAGACAATGTGGTCAAATGTTGGTATATACCTTTATTATTGAAGGCTATGGTCACCACATCGCCTTGGATCAAAAATAAATAGATGCTACATTACCCTTACGGGACTTTGGTCCTGAAACTGCCACCCATGTCTGATCAAGTGTCCTTCCTGACGTCAGCCGTGGTCCTATTTGGGTATGTGAACGCACGCCTTCCACAGTGGGAAAGCAAACCGGGACTAATTAACACGAAAATTAAGCGGGCAATGTCAAAGCTCACATTAACTTGTAGGAATACCAACTGACTTTTATTCATGCAGGGACAAGTCACTGAAACATGATTACTATTTTTTCCTTCCACGAAAGAATCAGCGTCAAATAAATACTTGTCATGGGACAGTTTTTCTTTCACAGACAATAACCAGTAATGTAACGCCACCATCTGTTGTCTTTTTTATGGTAAATAGTTTTGTCTGACACGAGATTGGGCGACGCCATCTGTTGATAAACAACCACACTTAATTGCGTCACCCTGAATCATTTGGAGATGGACTTCCTTATATCTGTTTTTGTCTAATATATTATCTATGCAGTTGTAACGAAATAAGGGAATTTAATCTCGATTTGTTCTATAAAGGTCGTAGGCTTCAATTGTGTAAAACTGGGGTTGACAATCCCGAAGAGAAAAACAGGATGGCTTCCCGAGTACCGTTGGGGGCTGGTGAAACAATTCATGTATTCATTGTTTGTGTTATTAATGCTTGCCTTTTTACTATGGATGTTTAACCCATTTGTAATATCACGTGAAATAATACTATACGCTGAATCAATGTTGATACATTACCTGCCATTAACAGTATTGACATTCAGCATCACAATAATAGATCGTTCATATAAAGACATCATGAAACACGTTTGCAAATCCTTGTTGTAAAAAAGAACTCCGATATGCAGCTCCTTTGTTTAGAGTTTCAACGGACGCCAGTGACGCTTTGTCATGCAACTGATATAGGATGCAAGGTTAAATAAATCTGAGGTCGGTTGGGCAGACAACATCACACACACTCACGCACGCACACACGCATGCACACACTCACACCCACGCACATGTCTATATCTATCTATCTATATAATTGAATATGATACTGATGAAAGGATGTATATTTCCTGAAGATATCAATATTGTTTAAATACCTTACAAGAACTGCCTGACTTTGATTCAGCAACACCAAGATTATATACAGTAAAGCAAAGTAC